TCTAAATGCATTAAGTAAAGGATTAATAGGCAATCCAGACGCCAGAGAAGACATAAATATTGGGGGAAGGAGGGGGAGGGCTTTTGACCAAAGAGTAAAATACCAGTTAACAATTCATTTACCTGTCTGTCAATCTTCTTTGGTTCAACACTTTCCTCTTTCTCAGCTGGAGCTGTGGAGGGCCAATTCTCACTCTTCCTAAGTTCTTCTATCTTTCGTGGTTCCAATAATGCTATAGCCGTATTAATCAAAGTAATCTGCTCCTCTTTAGGAACCTCCATAACTTCCCACATTTCCCCTCCTTCCTCCTTCAATCTAAATCCAACAAACTCCAACAATTCAACTCCTCCTGCTACCTCACCAATTGCTTCCCTTATCTTTGGATTACTCATCCGAATCTTCCTAAACTTGTCATTCGCAGGTTCCTTAACTATATTCCTCAACAACCTAAGAACCACCTCAACTGACCCATCTGGTGGCTTCCCTGAAAGATATGAACCAACACAAACCTCCAATCCACTTCTACACTCTTCTAACTCATTCTCATTTGACCCCGAAACACCATCACTGCCTTCTCTATAGGATGAATTAGTATTAACACAAGTTTCTACATGTATAGACACCTCTTCCTCAGACCTATAAGAAGCACCGCAAACTGGACATTCAAACACATTTAAAGTGAACCCATTTTTCGACACTTTGCTAGAAGTGATCAATGAGTCATAAGGATCAAATCCATTTCCCGTTTTGCGAGCTGGTTCAGGATTATTGATAGAACGGGGCTTATTTTGATCAGAACTTGGTGGTTTTAAAGGCATAGAAGGCTTAGAATTTGAAGAAGAAGAAGAAGAGAAAGGCTTTGGAGTGGGAGTTTGAGTTTGGGTGGGGCGGTTAAGGCTGGGGTTAACAGGTCCAGATGAAGAGGAACCCAATACTCTACCTTGCCCCTTGAATTTACCAGATGAAGAAGATGATGATGAAAATTGGGTGTTGACTTTCTTCATGAACCCCTTCCATTTATCTTTCATCTCATCCATATTCCTTTTCTGGGTATTATGCTCTTGGTTTGAAGCTCTAAATTTAAGTAATAACAATAATAATCAACAGAAAAAATATAGATCAAGAATCAAGAACAAAAAGGGTGACAGGTTTATCTGCAAAACCAAAAAAGGGTTGGTTTAAGAAGCTTGGGAGAAAGATCGCAAAGAAATCGCAAAAGAAAAAGGAGTTTGTTTTTGTTATGCCAAGAAAGAGTTTGTTGTTATTAGTTTTACCTTGGAAGATCAGAAGAGAAGCGTCAGCAGCTGGCAGACGACTTTGCTTTTTGTCTGCAACATTAAGATGAATATTATTGGCGGTTGGAATTTGGAACTTCTTGCATCCATGGGAGACGCTGAATTGTTAGAGATTCGATATACACGCTGTTCAACTGCGTCAATCTCGCCAGTTAATCCCATAAGATCCCGCCACGTATATGGGCCCACTTTTTTGTGTTCCAGCCCTATAGGCATTGGCCCCTGGCACTGGTGGGTTTATATATCGAAGTTTACAGCAGTTGACCACTGCAGCAAGCAAGACTCCGTTTATATATATATGAGCATGTGCAATAGCCCAAAGGGTTAAGTTTTGAGTAAATAAAGTTGGAAGAAATCGAAGAAATAAAGCTTGAGTCAAGTTTTAGCTTTGAATCATCCCCTAAAAAAGGGATTTGAAGGAATAAAACGCTTGGAAAGGAAAACATTTCTTGATCGACAAAAAATGTCTTCCGTTGAAAGGAAAAACATGAAAGAATCTTGCCAAACCAATTTCCCTCAACGTGTTCAAAACACGTTAGCGCCTACAATCCTCCCTCTTTCTTTCTCTCCTTCCTTCTTTCGTGTCTCCCTGGTTTGACTTCAAGGGGGCGTTTGATTCGTTGCATGTGAGACACCTCCTTTCCAATTTAATTGAACGTAAAGACATCCCAACGTTTGGTTTAAAACAAAGCTCCAATGAATGTGTTCCGTTTGCAATGTGCTTACATTGATCAATGAGGATGTGATTTCCATGGAGAAAGTTAGAACTTTTCTTTTCCCAAATTGTCCTAGCCCTAGCCCAACCCTTCTCTTCCTCCACAACGTTGTCGTTACTAATGATGGTTTTAATCTTGCAAAAACACCTAAAACAGCTTCCCCTGCTGGTTCTAGGTTTCTGATATGTGTTGCTGCAAATTTGTTTTGGGTTTGGTTTTGTTTTTATGATATCATACTTCTGGTTTGTGGCTGATGGTGACTATTTGTATATTCATGTGCATTGTGAGTGTTAAAAACGTACAACTAAAAGACTTTGTACATTTGAGTTAGGGTTTGACTTTTGTGCCTGGTTTTCGTTGTCAAACTATGACAGAGCATTTGTATTTTTGAAAGATTCTCTACTTGACGAATGAAATTACAAACTTTTGAAAACAAATGCTGTTGAAAATCAAGAAACGAAATTTTTTTATGTAAAAAAACTCAACAAAAATTGCTAGTTTTTTCTATTATTTAGTGTTTAAACTAGATTTGGGTTAATTTAATATGAACTTATTAGCTTGAATTTTATTGATTTAATCTATTTTTTGTTTTTTATATTATTTTATATATTATTAAAAGTATTTGCTATATATTTTTTGTAAAATAATGAACCAAATAAGTTCAAAAACAAAAAAAAATTAGAAACCTCTTTAAAAATATGTTTTTCTTTTTATTCTTGTAATAATTCTAAGCATTGCTACAAAAAAATAATTATTTTTAATATTTTATGTATTGATAGTAAAAATAAAAAGCTAATAACTTCACATATTTTAATATCTAAATAATTAATATTCAGATAGTATATAATTTTTTCATGTTATTATTTATTCTTTTAAAAGATAGAATTTGAAAATTTTAAAAAAAATATAAATGTAATTTTCCCAACAATCATATTTTTTGTTATTATCATTTTTTATTATTATACCAAACACTGCAAATTTATATTTTTAACGATTACATTTTCAACAATTATATACCAACAACCACATTCCTTACAAAATATCCAACACCACCAAGAGATCCTTTTCTTTGCTTTCTTTTTGGGTAAATGCCAAGAGAGGTTTCTTACACTTCTTTTCTCCTTTTTCCGTTTTATGCTTTGGCCCAATGCCAGTGCCAAGAGGAGCTACTTGCAGTTTTGAGTCATTGACTTTCCACTGACCTACCCTTTGCAGCCCCAGTTATATTGTTATGCTTACATCCATCGACTTTCCCATCGATTAGCTTTCAGCACCATGTATATGTAGGCGTTCTGTTTAGCACCTTGCAATCCTCTTTTGTTTATTTGGAGTCTAAATCCAGCTTTCTGCCGCACTAAGTCTTCAGAAGAGGATATGAACACGAAAGGTGTTGATGGTTGTGTTAGGGAGAGAGGAAATGGAGGCCGGCAAGAGAACTAGTCAAGCCCTTTCCTGCCTTCTAGCCGCAGCCTTGTTGCTCACGTACTAGGCTTTCCGATTACTGATTAGCCATATACCCGAAAATAGAACCGTTGAAATATGCTCATTTCACCATATTCTAGGAGAACTTGCATGATTAGGAGTAACTGAACAAAGATCATTTCTGTCTTTGATCTGGCAGATAGCTAATCAGAGAAAACATTATGTTTGTTCCTTCGCCTGGGGATAATTCTGCTGTTTGAGGTTTAAACATTTGCTCACACCGCTGGGCAGTCAAGCAAATTCATCCATAGATACAAAGGGAGTAACCAGAGTTTAAAATAATTCAAGTGTCGTCACAGACCAAAAGAAAAAAAAAAACAAAACAAAACAAAAAAGGTCAAGAAGTTAATCAGGAGCTTTGGGCTAAAGGTTCAGCACCCAGCCTTAAAGCCTTGGGCAGCTGCTGTCCTTCCAGTAAGTAGTAAATACCGAGTTCTACTCGGACCAGTAGCTTCAAAATCGTTGATTCCAATATCATAAATGGACTAATATAAGGGTACAAGATGGATTTGGGGGCAAACAAAAAGGGAAAGTTCATTTAGAGAAACAGAGCTTATGGCATAAAATTTCCAGCTAACCAGGTGAAACGCCTGACTACCATCTGGATTGAAAAGATACAATACAGCCATCTTCCCTGTTTCAAATTCATATTTGAACCATTTCTCTAGGTGACATACCTTTGATATGATAAACCTAGATTCCTCAAGATTGAAACTACAACCTGACTAAAACAAGCTTCTTCCCCTAAAATTTTATGCACTCCCCATTACAAACATTGGTTTTTCATTTCTTAGACTGAGCATAAGATGACAGAGGAGTTAGTCTTTAACCCAATTCATTCATATATAACCTGCAATATTAATAATTTAACAACAATCCTAGCATTTGACTCTGTAATTATGCATGGTCTTTCTCTTCAAATGAGGAGCGGTTGAATCCCTTTTTCCTAATAAAAAAAAAAGTTATTTAACAACTAATGACATTGCAAACATTTTTTTTTCCCTTTATGCATCTTCAAACTAGCCACATATCAGACATCTCTTTTACATCTTTTAATATATATGTTATCACCTATTTAACAAAACAAGCAACTTAATTGTAGAACACAGGAATTTGACTGAACTTCTAACAAGCCCTTCCTGGTCTCACCACCACTCTCACCACGTAGGCTACAAGATGATTCTAATGAACGGAATTGAAGCCACAATAACCAACACCTCAGTTCGCATAGTGCACCTATAGCACTCTACATTTCTAAAGCACTACAACAGGCACCATTTCTTTGAACTTTTTAAATAAATAAACCTATGTTGAGCAGAAAACTGAAAAGAATAAAGCGTTTAAAGAGGTACTCTCCAAGCAAAGTCAGAAATATTATCAATAGAAGAAACATATCAGAAATAAATTATGAAATAGCTAAGAGTGTTTTTCCTAACACATCTATTCATTTTTAACACAAATATGTTAAGAAGTACGAAGCAGAAAGCAACAAGAATACAAAGCCAGACACGAAAATGACAACTAAGAATTGCCCAATGACAACCACATCAGAGTTCTTTTCTTAGATCATTGATGATATAATAGGGGCTTGAATCATCCATAACCTATTTAAACTTCAACCAGAGATTCAGCTTGATTTCTCAGCAAGAAAACTTGTTTCAACTGGCGGTAAATCCATAACCTAGCAGTGACTGAACTTCGTACTACAAATAGTGCATGAATAATCCTCCACAAAAGTCACAATTTGTAGCCAACCTTTTGTAAAAAAACTAAGGTTCAGTGGAAGCTACATTGCCAAATGCTAACTTGCTCTTAATTGAAAATTGCAGGAAGAAAAAAATTACTAGAGGTTCAATTCCAACTCCAAAAGCAGCTTTCGATATTGAATTAAAACAAACTTATAACATAGCTGTACTCTGGAACCCTAAGTTTTTATCAAATCAAAAACTTAAAACCAAAGATGCAGCAGTAACAACATCTAATTCTTATCACATGAATCCTCCAAATGATCCAGACACATCAGAGAGGAAATTTTAACAAAAGATCGTAAAAACCAACATACACAGTTCTCAAACTAAGCACTTATCTCAGTCGCGATTTTTAAGCCTCTCGACGCGCTGATTCAACTGCTCGATCTTAACAACAAGGTTGGTAACAGAGTAAAGAAGCCAGTAGAAGATAAGAGCGGTGGCTATGAGAAGCGCGTTGCGTTGGCTCTTCATGATGGATTTCTGGTGGCGAAGTTGTTCGGAGGGAGTGCAGGAATCGCCTTCGCAGTGAGGGCGCGTCTCGTATTTCCAGTATATATCCATCAAAAGGAAAAGGCAAAACGGCACCACCGACAAGAACGGTTTGAGGAGGTTGCGTGTCACGGCGATCAAACCCTTGCGGAGTCCGTCGAGGCCCGGGATTGTTAGGAGGAGCACCATAATAGCTTCAGCACCCGCGGCGTAACCTAGCACAACCCATTCTAGAGCCATTTTTTCTTCTTTTTCTGGGGTTTGGGGTAAATTGTTAGATCTGATTCGGACTAGGGAGGGGCTTTGCGGTTGAAGGGGTCCGGTTCTTGAATGTGCTTTTCTTAGCGAGGAAGGAGGTGCGGAGAAAAATGAAGAGGGAACGGGGGGCACGTGGAGTGTTGTCTGGGTGTAACGCGTATAGATGGCCGTTTGAGAGGGGTTTGGGCTTTTGTTGAATTGGATTTGGCCCAATACAAGCCCAATTTTATTCTACCGCTGATGTACAATCGGGCCAAACTAGATGATTTCTCGCTCATATGAAGGCCAAGAATGTAATTATTAAGAAAATAATTGTTAGATATTAAATTACTAGATATTAAATTACTAGATATTAAAGTAATTGCAAACAATTGTAGCATATCAATTGTAGCTAAAAAATTGCCATTCATTAAATTTCTAAAAATGTTTCAACAATCCTAATACCAAGCGCTCTCTAAGGCTATTTGAATTATAGAATGAATCAATGATCAAGGCTATTAATCTCAGGCATTTGGTATGTTTTTCCACTTCAATTTAAGGTTAAATAATGAATTTCATGTTTTTTACTTTTGCCCCCTTTATATATATATATATAAATACTACCTTGGAATTGATAAATTTTATCCTGGCTTAGAATGAACAACATTCTTATCAGTAGAAGAAAGCTGAGAAGGTGTAAAGATTTGAGTCCATTGTTATCAGCAAATTCCAGCTTTGGATTTTGGTCTCGACTTGAAGTGGATGTGCAAATGCAATTGCCAGTGAACGTTAAATAGAGTGATGTTATGGGCCGTCTTATGCAATTTAGAAGGAAGCTGAGGGCCTGAAGGGGGAAGCTTCCAGACTTGAGAGCTTCCCTTGCCAAGTAAATAACATGGGCTCTTAAATATATGACTGGCCAGCATTTTGCTTATTTTTTAGCATAAGACTACAGTTTCAATGGTTAAAGTTTAAGATTTTAAGTTGAACAAAAATAATCTTATTCAAAGGGTTAAGGAGTGAAGTTTACTCCATATATGCGATACGTATATATTGCATCTGTATTCTCTTGTTTATCTTTGGATCAGTTCGATGTTCACTAGGCATTAATTTGTATGGAGATCCATTCCACTTGTTCTTGTTTATTATGCTTTCACTAACAGATGCTTGCATTGGGTGGCGAAGGAACATTGGATCTGAAATTATGCTTATGAGGATTCTCCAACTTCGAGCATCAGTTCACTAGGGAATCAATTCCTATGAAAGCTTCATTTGTTTGTAATTGGTGGGACTTAGTTGCTGCAAAATGCTTAATTGCACAGCTAGCTCACCTTCAAATTGTTTCTGGCCTAGTCTACTTATCCTGTTCAATTATTCTGATTATAAAAAAAAAAAAATGAGGATTATGGTTTTCATTTTGCCAATCATGGGTAAACATGTACGTTACTAATTATCTTCAAATATGAATTTGACTGATAAAGAAAGTTATGTTAATATCAAAGAAGAAATTTTAAAATATTTAAATTGTAAGTTTAAGTTTCGTGATTATGTTTGAAATAATATTATCTTTTTAATTAATTGGACTTTGAATAGAGTAGTACTTTAAATCCAACCAACCTGGATCACAAGGGAGGTCTATAATTTTAGGGGAAGATAATTAATTAGAAACCTAACCAGCCAGCTGCCGTACTTCCATTATTTTCCTCGTCACTTTGATGGTCAACGTCGCTCCAGAAGGCTCATCTCAGTTCTCATTGGTGCCACACGTTTACATTAAAAATTGCAATGATCCTTTGTTTCACATTGACAAACGATTCCTACTTCGTTGTCTAGGTTCAGCGCCTCCTTTATTTTTAGGTATGAAATATCCGAAGTGATCATATTGAAAAAGTCATAGAAACTTGTATCTCTACTTACCCCAAAAGATAATATATGAGAAAGGGATTCCAGTAGCTTCTTAGTCATCGTCATTGCTACTACTTTGAATCATTATTTTTTCAAACCTAAACCTGCATGTTCAAAGGACGACTAGCCATCTTGACCACAAGTCCATGGACCATCTAATTTGGAGTCGCTCCAGTCTGGCTCTGCTAATGTTTAGCATTTTTCTAGTGGATTACTTGATAAGAAGTATACCAGCAGTCAAACTGAGAGTTTTTCTTTATCCTTCTGATATTCTTGAAATCAACTAATGGGGAGAGAGACACCCGGTTTCCAACTTGGTTTTTCCCAGACCACGTTGAGGAATAAAATGGGAAAGGAGCTCAAAAGCTTAAGGACAGAAACTAAAACCTCACATCATTTTTCCATAAAGAAGAAGTCTTGTGGGGGACTGGAAAAAAGGGCATGAGGTTAGGCAATTTGACATGTGTAAAGTGACACACTTTTTGCGGTGAATGATTAAGCCATAAGTTAATGCAAAATATCGACAGATTATATGCAGCCAAGGGCAAGAGATGAAAATGATGTTCAGCAGATTCTCTAGAGCATTATATGTTTTACTAGTTGAATACTCTTTTTCTAATTAGCCTTCCTCAATTTGTCACACCTTTTGTCACTTCGATTACCCATCTTTTTTGTGTCTCTCTTTGTTAAAGCTGGTCATTATCTAATTTCTCCTCTGGGAATAAACATAAAGGGACAACAATTATAATCCAACGCATGAATCCTTTCAGCAATATAAGAGTCCCCACTTTCCATCTATTTTTTTAATAGCCCTGGGTTATGAAAAAAGAGATAAAAAATAAAGGAATGGAGCCAAAGGAGTGGATTGGGACAGAAAAGAAATTACATGGTGCCAAAGGGTTATTAGAATGGGACAGAGAACAAAACTCTTCTGATAAAAGCAAAGCCAAATTGGATAATGGATGAGAGAGATAATTCAAAGCTAATTCATGAATATTACCCTTAATTATTGGCCTTGAAACAGAGGGAATATTGTCTTAATCATTGCTCATCAGAGGATCATTACATATCTAAAAAGGCAAAAAACTTTGATTGTCCTTGGACACTAGACTAGATAGGCTTTGCTTAGACATTAGTGGGCATATGGGATGCCTGAAACAAAGTTGAGTTGATATAACTATAAAATTTGCAGAAACCTGAAGATTGAACTGTCCATGTATCTCCTCTCAATTTGACCAGGCATCAGTTCTGATTGATAATTTGAGTACCACTCTAAAATGATTTCACACATCTATTCACTGGTGCACATAAGGCTATGTCTTGCATTTCTTTTCCATATATTTAGAGAGACCTAAACAAGAGAGCATCCTATATATATTTTCATTTCCTTCAATATGCTTTTATCAGACACCTCAAAATGGATATTAGTTGACCATTTAGCTGTCGGAAGCCCTTGCTTGCACGTTTCTCCTCCTCAAAAAGTTAGGTTTAACATCCCATTGTTAAAAAAAAAAAAATACCCATTGATAACAGTGTTTTTGAATTGGAGTAATATTTAATACTATAAGATTACATAAAATGGAAGTGGAGGCAAGTAGTGTTGGCAAATACAGAGCAAATTGAACATTGAATTAACAGAAGTTTAATAAACAAGTATACTATAGTCTAAAGTATAGATGAATTCAAGCTTTGGCAAACAAAATATACTGGAAAGTTAGCAAAAGCTCTAATAAGACCCAACAAAATGCACTAACTACAGCACCACAAAGAGCACTTTTTTCACAAAAGTGTTTACTAATTATACACTCAGAAACAAGGTAGCATGGTTAAAAAGCTCAAGTGGGGTGTGGGCATTATTAGAGTCTTTAGGCTTTTTCCATCATCATTCTGCAACTTTCTTTTCACTTGTTTCAAGGTACCTGTTTCCATAAACATCTTTTCTATCAACCCCATTAATTTGAGATCTTCTTTAGAGGGAGCATGAAAGAAACATCAAGGAAAAGAGATGGGAGGGAGAAGGAGAGCGAGAAAAGTCAAAGACCACAAAAACTAAAGTGCAGCTAAAGGTCCACCCGGAGCAAAAACAATTTACCAGATGCAGAGGTTTACATGATATCCTGAAATTGTTTGTTTATTTACCACCTGCAATATGAAACAAGGCAAAAAGAAAGTGAGAGGATGGGAAACTTCAAATTTTGCAAAAGCAACAAAGCAAAAAGGAGAAAGAAAAGCGGAAAAGAACAGAGCAACAGTGGAGCTTAGTCAATTTACCTTTCCCTTTCTCACACACTCTCGATAAGAATGATACAAATACTATGATCAAAGCAACCCCAGCAATGAGCCCGATTAGAATTGCTAGTGTCTTCTCGATCTCATCATCATCATTATTAGTATCTACATTCACAAAAATTTGGAGGAAAACATCAGAAATTGCTTTCATGCACAATAATGAACTCAATAATTGAAATACCATAGTTGTTAGAATCTTTTAAGGCTGATACCAATTATATATCCATGATAATCTACACATGTTCCTTCCATCAGAGATGCCTAAGTTGACTGCTTTCATTACATCAAATTGGCTGTTCAACCTCATCGACATTGAATGTCGTTGGTTTCAAACTCATAGACTGTTTGATCACGAGAAATATCATAAGGTGGAAAGAACAAAAGGCTTGCTTTTTTTTTTTTCAATTATTGAAACAAGATTCTTTTCCTTACTATCTAGCATATATAATTATTTGATCGAACAACTTTGCTTCGTTTCTTAACAAATTTGGATCATTCCTACTAAATATAAATTCATGTCATTATGTTACACGATAAAAAGATATATTTTATTTTAAAGTGTCTAAAAATTAAATTTTAAAAAAATTCTAATAATTGAATACAAAATTTTATCTTAAAAGTTTCGAATTGAAATATTGAGCTAAGTAAATTATGGGCGTTATATAAGCTAAAATTATTAGTATAAAAAAATCTACTAATTAAAATAAAAAAATTCATGTATGATTATTATTATATTATTATATTGAGGTTGTCGGGGGAGGGGTGTTGGGGACATTGGATTCTGCTTGATTCCTAATGGGACATTAATTCAAAAGTGGGGTCTTATTGGCCTCAACTACATGCAGAATTATACTAGTATTAAGGTGCTCTTACAGGTAACTTCGTTGTTAATAGAAGAAAGCTAAGGCACTTTGACAATTTCATCTAATTAGTCATACATGTATAAGATG